TCTTTATATATTTCGCAAAGTACGTATACTCCATTCCTTATGTTAACTTACCCTTGGCATTAACAAAAACATATTACTTTAAGATATAACTAAAATTCATTTCTATTGGTTAGATTTTTTATGACCCCAAAGTGCGGTCACTTGTCTGATGTATGTATCTGTGTTACGCACTTTGGGGTCAAAATTTGAACCAAAAAACTTAACGCAATTAAGGGTCGGACCCCAAAGTGCGTTTGACCCCAAAGTGCGGTGTTACAGAGCATGTCCATTGATTGGCACATTTTTAATGGGGTTTACAAGCTTATTGTGACGGCAGAGAAAGGGAAAGCGACAAAAATATCATAATTCAGATGCTCGTGCATTGGTTTCTTTTCCCTGGGGTTTCATATTATGCGACAGGGAACGTGTTTTTATGGTTGGCTATGATACGAAAGAGAAAGAACATCAAAACACTCGGTAATCTGATTTATACTTGGGGGCTACGCCCCCCCCCCCCTCGTACAAATCAGATAGCCTCTTGTTTCGATGCTCTTTCTATTACTAAACTAACGAAATTTTGATTTTTTATCAATCCATTGATTTAACCTCGTTGGTCACACGTTGACGTATTGGTGGTAAAATAAGTATAATTGGGCACTCAAATTATAACTTGAGGTGTCCACAACGTTGAGAATGTTAGCTACCGGCATCCATTTTTGGTTATCAAATTGAAATTAATGAATCTCATTTAACGCCTAAAACCCGTAAACAAAAATTGGCATGCGCAGTCTCCGCTTCAAAGTACGACTTTACATGGAGGTGAACAAATCGGTTTTTGGGGGCGCAAGCCCCCAATGTAATTACGATAAATTCAGCTTACTACCTTTTGAACGCGTCTAGGCTATCTAGCTGCGCTGAGCAAAAATAGTTCCAATATTTTGCCATTGTATTCAGATCATCATAATACCTTATCTATTTTGAAATTGACTGGTCACTTTATTACTAAATTTTAAATCCTTTTATCACAAAATTACATATACCATTGCTTTACGCGATTTGAATATTATTGTACGCTAGCAGTCGATTAAAAATTTAATGAGAACCAGTTTATTTGTTCTATCCTTTCTGGTTCCCGATGCATGAGAACATTTGCATACATTTGGTGCCCAATTTTATCAAGTCATAAATTAACTAACTATCATTGAACACAATTATTTAAGGGAAAAATGGAATACGATTTTTCGATATTAGATAACTTTCAAGCTTAAAATGGTTAAAAAGTGTGAAATGACAGAGTAAAAAATTTGTATTGCGTAATGAATACGAACTATTTTCCCCTCTGACGTTTTTTTTTTTCGAAATCGCCATCTTGGTCAAGTTATTCCGAGAAAAAGGTTGAGAAGATTTGCTATCAATTAGGAAGTCCCAGCTATTACGTGATATTTTGGTTGCAATCTATTCCGTATGTATAATCAAGTTTTCTTCACAATCTGGTTAAAGCACTATTGATTATAATTTCGCTTGAAAATTGCATAAGACTGCAAAATTTTAGTGCATTACAAACTCGGGCCCTTAAAGTTTTATTAAAAACGTACTCGGCCCCGAGTCATCCTTCGGCCTTTTTTTTAAAACTCGTATCAACTTTTCAATTTATTAAAACCATATTGGTTTTGTTTTTATCACTCTTTTATTGTTGAAAACCACATAATTAATATCTGGAACTTATTTCAAAAACAATTGGAAAAGATATTTTCTTAAATTATTATTACATTTTTTGAACACATCTCTATTACTGTATTTGCTATCTAAAGCTAAAACAAAATAGGCACCAAAACTTGTTCATGGTTTATACAGGTAAAATGTTATAATTGGTGAAAAATGATAGTTTTCAATTTTGTGATCATGATTTTTGCAAGCAACTGGAGGTATAGCCTAATTAATTCGGCGTGAACGGTTTGACCCATTTTACAGACTTTTTTTTCTTACTGTCAAACCCCCTCCAAAATTATCTCGGTGTCTCTTTGACAAGTCTAATTAGTTGGACTACTGGAGGTACTGCCCCAGCCCTGTAATGAATAAAATCCTATCCTATGAGAGGTCCCAAAATTTTAAAGGACTGGTAATAATTATAATTGTTAAATACAATATGACTTTATAAGTTCAGATATACTTATTTCATACATGTAGATCTGATTTCCACAGTTTTGCCTTCATCAGATGTAGGATTTCATATTTATAAGTCAGTCCATAATTTTATAGATTTTTTATTTGTAAATTTATAGACATTTATATGAAAAAAAGTAGTTTGTATTAAAATTCAAAACCACAGGTCCAATAATAATAAGATTACTGATTATATTATTAAATATAACAGATTCCAGATAATGTGGGTAATCGGCGTATTTTACGCTTTAAAAATCAACTAAAAAACGTACAAAGGTTACAATTTGTTGCGTTCATTTACGCACTCTGTAAATTAATTGCGCAAAGATGTAAATTTGAAGCATTTTGGTGTGTACTTTCATTTTCGAAACAGCTGATTGACCGCTTTCCATTTAACAGTTGACTGTGTATCTATTTCCAATTAATACCCGTCAAGATACTTTCAACTATTTTTCTCTGTAAACCATTCAAATTACGTCTTTATTGCTTAGGTGCTTGATAAAACAATTGTTCTAATTTTCATTGATAATTGCAAGGATTTATTAATACACATGTAGTGCATGGTTGCTTCAAGGGCTAATCAAAATTGACATTTTTTTTCACACAACTCTGTTGCCCAGGGAAACTATTGTAAACCGTAGTGTATTTAAAATGAAAAGAGCACAAGAAAATGTGAATCATAATATACATGAATGAAGGCGCTGTAAACATACAGAAATCGGCAATTGACAGGTGGTTATCTGCATTGGTTATGTCATTGTCAACGATTATTGAGTGTAAACAATATAAATATGTGCATGAAAGGCCTTTCAACTGAAATGAAAATTCATGCTGAATATTCTGCTAAATTTCACATGATCTTTCAGGGAAATAAATAAAAGATGTTTATTTTGATATTTCTCCCTTAATTATCTAATATATTTTCAAAGAATCAAATTATTTTTAACAAAAGTGTGATACAGTCATCTTTTATTCTGTTCGCTACTTAATAAAAAATGAAATACCACTAAATCTGTAATGCTATTTTAGTCTTGTAGAGATTAACTGGACCAGACTTAGTGACTTAGAATTTATTTTTGTTTTAAATGTATATAAAGAGAAGATTTATGTAATAAACTTAGTTAGAGAATGGTGTGTTAATTTTAATGTAATAAGTATGGTGGCATTAAAACAGAGTACGTCTTTAATTTTACTCTGTAGATTTTTGATCTATTTAAATTTACCCCCACATTCTGGAAAGTGGGGGTAAGTAATTACCCCCAGTGTCAAAAAATTATCTGGAACTCTGTATAACAGTATGGTAATATTTAGAACAATTTGATGACTATCAATTTTTACTTTAAACAAAAATTTAAAAGTCATAATATACACTGATGAAACTTACCTCATTACCTTTGTTGATATAACCTATCAATAAAAAACAACTTGTCTTTAGCAGCAGAATTTTTATATACATCATATTAAGTCATCATTACTTTTATTGTTTAACATCTATATGATTTATATAATACTAATAGTATTCAAAAATTTTGTTGATGGGAGTTTATGAATTGGTAGAGGAAGGAATAATTAATCATGGCAGTGGCTAGCAGTATGAACCAGTATTGTTTGACAAAAGTGCTGGCTGTATGCGAGTCGCATACGACTAGCATATACTCACTGTTGAGGCTAGCTGTACAGCATTTTAAAAATGAGTTGCCTAAAAACAATAATATGCAAACTTGTTTTTTCTAAAAGAAGATTTTATTGAATATCATATACAATTTCAGTCAATGCGAAAGTCAAAAAAAAATCCTGCCGCAAGGACTTGGATCCTTAGATTTATTTCCGGCCCTGATGATTTTTTACCGGCCCGGACTCTGAAAGGTTTTTTTTGTAGGGATGGGGGAGAGATATTGCCATAATTATAAAGAAAAATTTTAGCATATATGAATTGTCAGACTCATATAAGATACATGTACTATGAAAAAAATATACAGAAACATAATTAATAAAACATTAGCATAATTCACAAGAAAACAATACATCTTTCAAAGGTTTAAATTTGAAGATAGGAGAAAAAATATGTTTTGGTAAGGAAATTATCAAAGACAAGATGGTGGCTTACATTACTTAACACAAACTGGTCGTATCCTGCGGTGATTTTGGTTATCTTGGTCTGTGAATACAAGCAAAAATAAAAAAAATAGATCGATCTTGGAAGCTTTGCATATTTTAGAAGGCCAAAAATTGTTTCAAACTGGCTGAAATTTTATTTGGACATGACAACTGACTGTATCGTAATTTATCTCGGCCCTACTGATTTTTAGTTGGCGAGGTCCGAGGACCGACAGCCTTTCGCACACACTGCAATTTACAGTTGGTATAGTAATTTTTAGTGTTTGATGATCAGAAGATTTTTTTCCTTCTGAAAATCATGGAGTTGAATAATTTAAATCTGTGTGAAAGCGCAAAGAGACTGAAAATTAATTTATTATTTCTATGGACAATATAGATGTAAATACATTTGTAATCAAACATGTGGGTCAATTCCAACCCAGTAGTTGAATTATGACAAAGAATTTTTAATAATTTTATTTCACTTTTAGCTACTTGAAAATTTCATGCTGGATGTTTGCTTACCATTACATTTTGCATAAGAGCTCTATGATTGACATTAAAGTCCACGGGCCAATTCATTTCTGATATATCTTTCAGATATCTTGTTATAATATAAAAGGCTGAACGTCATCATAAAATTATTAGGAAAAAAAATATATGTTCATTCTTTGTAAAAATGTTAGAAGACTTGCAAGTTACCGATTTTATCATTGCATTGATTTTATTTATTATTGAAAAAATGCTGAACAGCTATCCTCAACAGTGTGTATAGGCTAGAACTTTCAGTTTGCATTTTAGGGTCATGACGGCTTTCCCGTTGCTGTCAACAAACTTTAACCTTTTTCATAACTTTTCAGATCTTGGTGTATTGTCTTCATACTTGGCCACAACAACCCTTCAAATAGACCAGACTAAACTTGACCTCCATATAAACATTCAAGGTAAAATATTTAAATTTTCTTGATTTTTGCTATTAGTGGCTATGACTTTGTTATATTTGAATGGATTGTCTTCAAAATTGAACGCAACAGTCTTTCAGGATAGGACCTGATTCACTCATTAATGTCCTTGAAGCTTTGTGATCAGAAGTTGTGCAGAATAATACAAACCCAGAACAATTTTCATTTACTTGGTTTTTGCAACTTCTGAGACAATGGATTTTAAAGATAGTTGTTTTCTTAAAAATTTCAGGACAGTATATAGTAGATTGTAAAGACATTAAGTACATACTGCATATACACTATAACTACTATAGTATACTATAAAAATCTTTGTGCTTGTACAATTTTGAACAAATTGTTTCTTAAACAGTGTAAGAAATTATGATTTGAATCGACTAGTCTGGTCGGACTACCAGATTGGAATATTCACTAGCCCAAAAGACATTTCACTGGCACGATTCATTTGTTCAAAACAGTTGTTTATATTGCCTCTGAAAATACAGTAGCCTGATCGGCTTGTTACTGTGAAAAGTTGGTAGCCCGAGGAGAAATTTAGTAGTCGGGCCCTCGGACTACTGCTAATTTCGAACACTGCTTAAATTATTGATTTGATATCAACTAACATAATTATTGGGATACTATATGTATATCTAATAATAATTATATTTTATCTTTCCAACTTTCTGTTTCAGATGGTCGGCCTACATGTCAGATTTGTGAATGTGAACGGCAGGATATCGATTTTAAGGATGCTTTAGGGTCAATGAGGATGAAATCAAGAGAGATAAAGGCTAAAATGTGAGACTGTCAATCTGACAAACCTTGCAGTGAATAAATGGTATTAAAAATGTTTCTTTCAGTATCATGGCAGTTAAGGAAGCGATACATAATTAGAAGTTTAGAAGTTTTTGTTTATGATATTTCTTAATTATTATATCCTAATAGCTTTTTTTTCTAGACTTGTTTAAAGGCTGACACAGGACAGTTTATTATATAAGTCAGTGAGCTTTTGTCACTGGATAGACTATTGTCACAAAAGCCAAATTTATAAAAAAAGAATTACAGTGTATTTAAATATCATCTTATACTAGAAATTAGGAACAAAATTAATAGCAAGAACAATTGTGACATGTATCATGTATTTAGGAATTCAGCTTTTATTTCCTTTTCACCTCAGGAGAATTCACATTAAAATATTGAATATTCACAGTAAGCACTCCGACATATCTGACATATATGATTATCTTATCCACACTTAGCTGTCTATAGGTTATCAGAATCACTCACATTTATAAATTTAAATAATTTTGAAAAAATTGCTGCTTAGCAAATAGATAAAATACTTGGGGTGTCTGTGGCGGATTGGTTGACTTTGAACCTATTAAGCCTTTCACTGCTGTAGGTTCGAGCTCTGCAAGGGTTTATGGATTATTTCATGTGAGAAAGCTATCCAGCTCATTTATGGAACATTGATGGTACCCAGGTGCCTGAAATCATACACATAGGTGCACCAAGGTCTTCCTCAACCAGTAAAGCTGAAAATTGTGCTTTAAATTGCCCCCCCCCCATCCCCGAACAAAACAAAACAAAAATAATGGCATTTTTATTTTGCAATTAACTTTTTCTAAACAAATATTTCAGGAAACAGAGAGGCGTTTGTATGATAGAACAGTAATAGCAGGAGTGATAAGGACAGATGCATGTAGATGTGTCTTCATGTCGGAAACACTACCAGAGAAATTGAAATATTTGGGTTTTTCAAAACTTACAAGAAATTGGAATACCAGGAGACTGCTTGCCCTTTGCAATGTTGGATGATATGATGTCGAAAGCCTCATGAATATAGTAACTTGACTTAATCTAATTAGAAAAAGAATTGACATTGAGGAGAAAACCAGTCACCAGTCTTTCACCAAGAACATGAGATAACTTTCGAATATTTGAAATATCATAATATGTATAGAACTTTAATGAGCCAACAGTTTTTCACCAGGAAAATAAGATCACTTATCTATTTTTGAGATATGTATGAACAGAACTCTATCAACTTCAATGTGAGAGTTTATCACGAAGAACATGAGATAACCTATGTATGAACAGAACCACATTTGTATATAGAGGCGCCAGTTCATCACCAAGAAGATGAGCTAACTTATCAATGTTTGAAATCTGTTATACCCCCGCACAACAAAGTTGTAAGGGGAGTATACTGGAATCAGCTTGTCCGGCCGACAGGAGTTCGTCAGTTTTTTCTTGTCCGTCCAATAACTTAAGATTCCTTTGACCCACAGTCTTCATATTTGGCATGGAGGTAAGTCATGATTAGTAGATGACATCTGTTAATTTTGAGAACACCAAGTCAAAGGTCAAGGTCACAGGGTCTTGACTGAAGAAAGCTTTTCTGCCCAATAACTTAAGAATCCTTCGACCCACAGTCTTCATTTTTGGCATGGAGGTTAGTCATGATTAGTAGATGACCCCTATTTATTTTCAGGTCACCAGGTCTAAGGTCATGGTCACAGGGGCCTTGGCTAATGAAAGCTTGTCCACCCAATTACCTAAGAATCCTTTGACCCGTAGTCTTCATATTAGGCATGGAGGTTAGTCAAGATTAGTAGAATACCCCTATTGATTTTGAGGTCACTGGGGCAAAGGTCAAGGCCACAGGGTCTTTTATTACAATTAGCTTGTCTGCTCAAATGGTCTCATATATTCTGACATCATAAAACACCTCCAGGCAAGGCTGTATGAAATGGGGGTGGGGGTGTTATTGAAGTCATTCAATGGCAGTTTCAGTTTTGAGGTCAGTAGGTCAAAGGTAAAGTTCACTTTGATCTTTTCCACTAAAACATGTAGAATACATAACTTAGCAATGCACTGGCTTACTTCCCTCAGATTTGGCTGGGAGGTTGTCTGAGCTGTAAATGACTACTGTTGATTCTGACAAATTGGTATGTGGGGGTATTCACACCATGACAATGGCAGTTCTAGTTTTTACAGAAAATATCAAGGTGCAAGTTTCCTTTATTAAGAATAGACTTATTGATTAGATAACTTACAATATTTACAAACATTTATAATACCATACCCATTTAAAGTATTTCAGCTGAGAGTGTATTATCCAAAATACATGTACATGTATTGTTATAATGTACTTTATAGTATATTTATTGATATATTTATTGTAAAGTTTTGATTCTACTAGATTTTAAAAACATTTAGATTTTACTAGATCTTGAAAATATTTTGTTCCATGCTCTTTCATTTAATTTTGAATAATGAATCCAATAAATACCTATAATTAGTATAGGATTAAAATTGATAATGTTTTTCATCTTTAACTTATATAAAAGTACAAAAGTAATGTTTAAACTGCTGGTTAGATTTTAAGCAGGACTAAACAGGAGTGTACAGTGCCATCCTTAGTTGTGCACATTGTTGGCATGTTCTCATCGTCGGATACCCACGGCCGAACCATTAACATTCATCATTAATTGCATGTTATGTGACATGTTTATCAATCGTGGGTATCCGACAATGGCATGTTCTGTTTCTCTGCACAAAATGGCCCCAGAGTTAAAAAAAGAAAAATCTATCACATGTAAAACTGCCAAAATTCAAAAGAGTGATCAGAACCATACACAGTTTTGGGAGACATGTTTTTGTGACAAAAGCCCTTCAAGTTCGTATATGACCTTGACCTTTATTTGATATAAAATATCTTTGGAGTTAGCTGGAATTGTCATTACTTTGTTATTATTTACATATTTGATTCATGCTTGGACAAACAAACACAAAACCAACATGTTTAATTTTTCTGATATAACTTTGACATTTAAATGACCATTACCTCCAAGGTTAAACAATTGAAATTCGATCACATTGTCATAACTTTGTTTTTGTCTATGATTTGAATTATTCTTGGACAAAAGAACAATTATCATTCAACTATGACCTTTACTATTCAAATTTGAAATTTAATTTATACATTTATATTATGTTTTCTAGGAGTACTCTAATAGATATTACAATATTCTCCTACTGATGTGTTTGACTTCCAATATAAGAAAAAGCCAAGCATGGCCCAAGCTAGATAGTGGCTCTTGTTTTCAATGCCAACTTGATTATATGTATCCATTCTAATTTACATTCTCACATGTATTATCTATTGTGCTTGAAAGGTGTTTACAAAAAATAAGTTTGTTCTTACAGTCCTGGTTTTATTTTAGAAATCTTTTATAGACAGTTAAATTTTCTGTTTATTTTCTATCTGCATAATCATTTCTTGGAATAAATATAGTAAGTACACTGATTTATGTGTTATACACTCACATAAGGAAGTACTTTACATGAAAATTGGTAAAACAACTATAGTTTCCCAACAAAATCCAATGTCATAATTTAAAATGTTTATTCATGATATATATATGATATCAATCATGCATTTTGCTGGGTTTGTTAGTATGTTCTTGGTACATGATTTTCAATTTTGACAAGAGTTTGGAGGCGATACTATTATATTGTGTAAAAAATGGGCACTTATTCAACTTTGAAAGAAGAATGATATCAGATTGGAACACCTAAAGTAGATTGCTATACAAATCTCGAATTTTTGTATGCAACATATTGCGCCCCCATCAGTGCTTTCAGCACTTTGATTATTTTACAATCTTACCGAACACTACTGTATTATCGAGTGAACCGTGTATGAAATTTCGCTCCTCCTCCTAACTTAGAACACCTCGCCGTTTATTCCTAACAAGAGACTAACGGGAATAGCCGATAACAAAACTATTCTTCCTATTCATCGAACTGTTTTAGAACAAAACAAATATTCCACAGTTGCATAAACACCTCTCGTATTTTTTCTGTTTAACTCAGTGCGTGACTGGATCGTATTTACAAGACAAGACAATCACTGTGTAAACAAAAACTCGGAAGTAAACAAAATCTGTGCTTAAACCTGTTAACTTTTTCAACTGTTCTTAAGTCAATATCACAGTCCTGCAAACGTCAAGTTTCAGAAATTGTGGACAAAAAATGCAAAAGAATTCAGTTACACATCCTTCTATCTATAAAAGATTCCATCTATATATACGAGTATATGCATTTCAGTTTAGATAATGTAAGGTTAAAATTTGATATTAATATTGATAGTAAAAAAAAAGAAAAATGTCTTTTACAGGCAATGGAATTTTCAATAAGCCAAGAGGAAGTTTTTAATATGATTTAATATTGGGTTTGAAGTCATGTTGACGATAATAAATTTCAAAAGTGATTTAGATATACATAATGTTAAAAAGAAAACATCGTTAAAAATAAAGTAGTCGAAAGCTTTCGGTGACTTTTTAAAATCATGTTGTCCATGACCTGCATAGGAAGACAGGGTTTAAGGCAAATTATCATTATTGTACACTATTGATTTACTTTGTATACTAGATTTTAAATCTGAACAATTATCTTATTTAATATTGGAAAATAAGAACATTTATTATATACTTTTAAATGAATTATAATTAAGAAATATTGATGAAATAAAGTGCGTATTTTCATTTTCCGTATTTTCACTGTAAAAATTTATTTTTCACTGCAGTGAAACATATTTTCCGTATTTTCACTGGTGTCTTGCCGGACTACATTCTTTAAAATTCTGCCAGTACTCAAAATTTAAGGGAAAAGAGAAAATGTATATAATAAACAGAAAATTCAAGTTTTTTCTATAAATACATGATTTATTTTCATCTTGTGGCATGAAAATTGCCATATTTCACTCGTGGCTGTCGCCACTCATGAAATATTTATTTCATACCACTCGATGAAAATAAATCATGTATTTATAGAAACAAACTTGAATATCCTCTATTTATTAATATTTATATGCAACCGTTGCTCAGTAGATATAACTAATTTTATTACTGTGGTGCACTTTTGGTTTTATTATCATAGCCATTATCATCCAACAAGCACAAGCAGCACCACACTTTTAGGTTCAGGATCATATATATATGTTAATACTAAATATTTGGTTATTTGTTTATTTATGACTTTTATTTATCAGCCAATATTGTCCATTTTTGAAGGAGCGCCGATATCAACATTCGTTCCTACATTGATGACGCGTCAACAACTTTAAACCATGTTACTGTCAAAATCGGTTTCAACACAATAAAAATTTTTCAACGTATCATAATCCATTCTTTACTTGTTATACAGTTATATATATCTTGTCTGGCACCTTAAAACATTCATTTGTGGGGGGATTTGGATTAAACGTATGCACATTAGTTCAATTGCGATTATTTGTGTATCAAATCAGGTGACTGTGTATGGAATTGCCCTTGTGTGCTCATTGTAGGGTTTCTTAATCAGACAAAAATCATAATCGATCATTGAAAATAATCGAAGAACCCTTTTCGATCAATCATCGATTAATAATCGGAACTTTACAATAACAAAGTAAATATGTACAATGTACATATCATGCTTCAATATTTATAAAAATTCCGTTAGTATTCTATATTTTGTGTTAACTGAAATCAACTAGTTACTCATGCTATGATAATCCTTTAAAATATTTTAATCAAATACATTCATTAAATCTATGAAATTGTTATGTCTCAATTCCAATAGAGTAATGAATAAACTATGTATAGCCTTTAGGAACAAGAGAAGTTGGTCATTTCTGCCAGGGGTTTTTAATGACACTATAAATTGATATTGTAACCATCTTTTATTGTGTAAAATAATTTTATTCATAACATATCTTGTTTGTTTGAAGTCAAAACATGTTCATTTCATATTTACAAATAGCCTGTGTAACAATTTTCTAATGTCAAATTTGAGCATAGTGTGTCTTTAAATTGGAATGCCTCACTGTCAACTATTAACCGCATAGTCACCAGTATGCTTTCTCATTCATTTAATGAAAATTATTGGGTCAACCAAAGCTGGCTCTAATTTAAAGTATTGTTATAATACAGTGAGTCACTTACGTAAAAGCAAGAAGATAAATAACCGATAATCGATTATTGAACTTTGTATTCGATCATCGCCGATCGGTCCTATAAACGATCAATTATCTATTATGCTAAATCATCGTTTAATTCCTAGGTCATTGCCTCTGTTTTGTTGAGTGGGGCGGTTTTCCTGTTCATATTTGGTTTTTTGAAGAAAAAAAATAGAAATAGCCGTCACAACAACATCAGACTTATGCCAAAACATATTGAAAAGGGACGGTCTAGGGGCGATATTATTTGAAAATTGCAGACTAGGTTAGATTGAAACTGGACAAAATCGTTGTTCTGTATATGATAAACCACTATTTATCCCTTATTCAGACACGTCTTTTTGTCGAACTGTTTTCTTTTCTTCACTAAAGTGTACATGAAGAATCCCATGGGGACTACAAGACTAAAGAAACAAAGCAACGTTATTCAATATTAATGTAGACAGAAGGGTTCAATGTATTTCTAAACCTAAACATTATATTGGATAATTAGTGTATTCTTTTATTTTTTGCTAGCACTGTCATGTATCAGCTTGTCTTTGTCACTAATATATCGTTTTCATATTTTTCTCATTT